AGTTTTCAAACCGATTGCTTTATGGATCGAGATATCATCACTTTCAAAATCGTCACATTCAATAATAAAATCAAAAACTTTCAAAAGCTGTTCACGAAAATCTGCTACAGTGAAAACTAACCGAGATTTAAAATTCCATCGCGTCTGACAAACTGTTGGCATTTTTTTCGAAACAAACCGTTCTAAAACATTAGTCCGTTTAGGCAAGCTTGAGAAAAATGAAGCAAATCCGCTAAAACTGGCAAAAAAAAGACGACATTCTTTAATTTTTTTACATGTATCTTGCAAAACTAAATTCATTCTATGCGCATGACAATGAGTAAATAAATCTTGCGGTGCAATAGTTTTAACTTTTGCCTGGAGACCACTTAATTCACCAGACATCACGGCAGCGCCGTTATAAGTTTGCCCTACCAATTTATTTTTGATATCAAAAAATTTTAATTTGTCCTTTAAAACACCAAAAATATGTTCTGCCTTATGGCTTTTACTCACGTCTGTAAAACCTAAAAACCTCTCATAGATATTACCACGTAACGCGTATCGAACAACAATTGACAATTGTCAATGACATGATATGTCGGTAGTTTCATCTACTTCTAGTGAAAAGCAAATGGTTTCCTGAATCTCAGATTCAATATTGTTACTCAAAATGTAACTAATTGATTCTTTTAATTCATTCTGGATTGTTTTAGATACACCGCTAAATGTCTTCGAATCAGAAAGTAAATTAGAAAATTCCAAATCGTATTTCTTAAACATTTTTATTAGTTCTCTATAATTACCTTGATTTAACGAATGCTCCGATTCATCGTGTCCCCTAAAAGATAATTCCTGACAACTTAAAAAAATTACAATATCAATTAAACGACGTAAAACTGCGTGATTATTTTTTACAATTTCGTTATGTTTAATAGCATTTTCACGTTGGGCATTATCTAATGAAACACGGATATTTTGTTTTCCAAATAAATCTAATTTAATCTGGCTGTAAGTATGATCTTTCGAAATAACACGTTTATGTAAAGCCCTAAATAATTCCTTTAAATTATCGTAACCAGATTCACACCACGGATTTTGATGTTTGCCCCTATTTGTCGAAACTAAAATGCAAGGCCAACAAAAAAGTTTGTTTTTTATTTCACTCCCAGTAAGCCATGAGTACTTGCTGTACTAATTGTCTGAAAATGATCTATTACTTCCCTTACCCGCACTAATATTTATAAGTCGGGACATTTTAGGCAAAGGACGCCCCTTATTTTTAATAACAATTTGTTCTTCGTATGGAATTGATGAAAACCCATTGTGCAAAATATAATTTACAATATCAGACTTATCAATACTTACAGTTTCTCCCATGGCTTGCATTTTTTAGGTGTTTACTGAATTTGTTTACACTTTAATTAAAAAAAAACTTCTAATATGTCAAAAAACCCTTTAACCGTTAACTATTTAAGGCAGACGTAACGTATCATAGTATTACTTTAGAAAATAAAAATAAATCACAAAAAGATAGGCTAGTTCGTGCACTGAATATCATTTCAGTTTACTAATATAAAAATGAAATAACATTTCGTCCCACGCTCCTCGCAATGTACAGTTCGCGACCAATCACCAATCCAAATGAAACATCGGCAAATTTAAATCTGCCGGACTTAGTAATTAAGTTCATATGGAAAGAAATGTATATTTGGTTGCTAATCAACCAATATTCCGTTGATTTTTACAAGTAAAGTCAAGGTTGGGATCGGCTAGCCGAAAAAAACAAAACGTACCTTCTCAAGAATTCATAGGCGGATGGATGTCTCCGACATCAGAACATTTATTTGAAAAGTGTCTACGCAAGGATCACTTAACGCTCAGATTGGACGAATTATTTTAAAAACCATGAATAAAATTTAGTCTTTATTATTTCACAGATATTTTTTTAGTTCACAAAAACAAATGCCATCAACTGATTACCTGCCACAATTATTTATTGAAATACTGATTAAATTAAATATTAAAATAATCTATAATATCTATAAAGATGTGGGTCGGCACTGCCGACCCTGCCGATCCTGACCGACCGCCACTGCTCTTTTCTGTTTTCTTCAAAAGGTCCATTTTTGGACATAGACCTCTCTAAACTCCTACCACTGATCTCTATCCTGAGCAACATACTGGTCTGGTCTCATCTCTGGTCTTCCTCTTGGTGGTCTATCTTTGTAAGGTCTCCAATATTGTATTGTGGCGTTCCAACGTTGCTTTATTTGTTTAGCGCCTATGTGTGACCTGCGAAGCTCCATTTCACTTTGGGAATTTTTGTTGTGATATTCTCAACTTTTGTTTTTGATCTTACCTAGTCGTTTCTCTTTTTATCTGACCGTCGTATAACTAACATTGCTCTTTTCATTGCCCTTTCTGATGTGGCTAGTTTATTCATATTTGCTTTGGTTAGGGTCCAGGTTTGACACCTATATGCCATGATAGGAAGGATGCATTGGTTAAACACTTTGCTCCTTAACTATTAATGTATTTTGGGTTCTTTACAAAGACTATAGGAAGGCCGCGTTGCTATAATAAACTAAAAAAACAGTATTTATAAATTATAGCTAAAAATGGGTACATACAACAACAAACTAGTATTTAAATAAATTGCAGTTACGAGATTAGATAAAAAAGGTGGTAATTCAGGAGAAACAAATGAATTGTTATTTACAGAAATCAAAAATGTATAATGAGGGGAATGGACTACAATTTTTCGACCGAAACATCTTTTTGGTTCGTAAATCAATCACATATACAGTAAAGAAAAATGTACTAAACAAAAGCCGTAAAATAAATTATTGAAAACTATTGAAAACTTTTTCACGTCCGGGTCTTGTTTAGTGAAGTGTGCTTTAAGAAATGCATACACAATCCTTTTAAAGGGAAGTAAAAAAAACAATTTTGTCTGGTCAAGGTTTCAAACCAAAGAAACAAAGAAACAGGGAAGGTAATAACGATTTGAAAATGGCAGTGCGTGCAGCTACTAGATGAGCCCCCAAGGTAGAATTCGCTAATACGAATTATTAACACTATATTATACTTAAAAGACGCCTTGGTCACTTAACATCTATCCTCATCGGACGCCAAAACTAATCTGTCTTAATTTTTTGTGACTGTATAATATTTATACTTAAAACCAAATAACTTAATACTAAATTAATTGTTCTATAGACATTTTAATGGATACCTTGATCGAAAGATGAAAAGATGGAGAGACGACATCGCTAAAGATCTTAATAGCATGGACTGAGAGACTGACGAAGACTTTATGATGGACCAGATGTATTCTCCATTCGCTTAGCTAGGGCATATTTTAACAGACTCATTGTCGGAAACCTACAACACAACAATTCCTACTTCTCAGTATTAATAGCTCAAGTATACCACTATTGCAGATTTCTTTCTTTGAAAAAAAGAAGAATTATTCTAAATAGTGGAAGTGTATACTAAACCCATCAAATTTTTCCTGTATATTTAAAATATACTATTTGAGTTACTACAATTTAATATTATATTGTAGTAAATATTGTTGTTAGTTCTATTTAGTTTATTTAGTTATAGTTCTATTTTGAATTTTATTATTAGGGATAGTCAAAGTTTTCCATTTGTTCTACCAGATAATGCGTTGATAAGTTTTTCTTAAATAAATACGATAAATGTTCTTTAAAAGTTAATATTTTTAGATGATTAAGGATGCTGTTAAATTAAAAGGTAATCAACCTGCACAAAGATTTATTCAAAACACCAACTATTTTTTAAATTATTTGCTCATTCGGCGTAGGTTGATCACTAAAATATATTTATGAAGTTCTGTAAATATATTCTTAATAACAAAAACATTTCAGTTAACATCTATGTATATATAGCATGTATAAAGTTTCTATTATATATAAAATGTATATTATATATAAAAAATATATTTTATAAAAAAGTTACAGTAATTTAGTTTATACCGTTAAGTTGCTCCAAATGTAGGCAACCAACTTAAACTTTTTTGGCATTTAGCTGGAGTTTCTTGAGAATATTTTTAATAAACGTTTAATATTTTCCAGTTAATTTATTATTTTTTAAAAGTCATGATAATAATGCTGAATAAGCAATATTTTAAATGATATTTAATCACAAAAAGTACTTAATATTATTTTATATAATCTTCATAAAGTACGTTTCTAATAAAAATTAGCTAAAATTAGAAGAAAAAAAACTAGTTTATGATAGTAATAATAGAATATTATAATATTTTAGAATTATATTTTTGATGATATTGTATTATCTTTTTGATGCATAATATTTTTTAATTATAATATGAATATTATATTTTTTATCTAACGTACTTTATGAGGATTATATTATATAACACAATATTAAGTACATCTTGTGATTATATATCATTTGAAATATGGCTTATTCAACATTATTAGCATCACTTTAAAAAATAATAATAAAATTAAATATATTCTCAAGAAACTTCAGCATAAATGCTAACAAAAAGTTTACGTTGGTTGCCTATATTTGGCGTAACCTAACGATATAAACTAAATTACGGTAACTTTTTTATAAAATATATTTTTTACATATAATAGAAACTTACGATCTTTATACGTGCTATAAATTTCTAAGTCATATAAGTTTGCAAAAGAGGTCGACGAAATACTTTAATGAAATGCGCTATGAGCACGTGTGCTTGGTCGTATAGTAATTTCCAGCCACTTCTAGTCTGTCAAAAAGTAACTAACTTCGTAAAAACATAATTACTAAAATCACTAGACAGTTCGTACTGGGATTAGCGAACCGGGTATAGTAGAGGCATATAGTATAGTCAGCCAATACTCACGATAGTCTATAGAGCTACAGAGTAATTAAGTAAGTAAGGCTAAGTATAATTTCCATGAATTTTTAAATGAAAAAAACTCAAAGCAAAACATAAGAAAAATTATTTTACAAAATTATATTACATTAAACAATTGCATGTAACATAGGATTCAGTCAAATTTTTCTGTATTTGATGGTTTTTTGTTCGAAATTTGTAAACTACTATTTTTCCTTACAACAGCTATACCATGCTGACAATAGCAAGTATCAATTTTTATCGTCTCTGTGCTTTTGTTTGAGAAATTATTTTTGGCAATAATGCAAAACACACAGAATGGGTATACAATAAAAAACATTATATTTATACAAAATTCTGCTTGAATCGGTATATTCCTTACTCTTACTCCAGTAACAGGATGGATTGGCCAATCAAATTCATCATAAATTACTCGCATGTGACTTATGTCATTTTCATAGTATTTGTTAATTTTTCTTGGTAAATCCAAAATTATATCTAAGCCCCATATTCCAATGGGTATAAAACATAGACCTAGTAAGGCTTTAATTGTACCCATTACTAATAGAGTTAAACATAGGGTAATTATTACGTACATCATTAAAAACACTAGATAGTCAGAAAACGAATATTCCATTAACTGAAGAGAGACCGGCATACCACCTTGTAAGCCAGCTGCGTGATAAGCCAACAAAGATAAAACTTTACATTTGAGACCATAATCGGCAATATAACAAGTACACGAACAATACCAAATGCAAAAACATCGATCTTGATGTCTTAATTTAACTTTCCTAACCGCAATCAACTCTTTTTTTAAGTTCAGCACTTGTAAGCTACAAATAAAAGTACTGATTGTTAATGGACAGTGAATATCCAACTTAAAGATATGTTGATGTTGAGGAGCTATTAAAGCCGGCATAGATTGTATATGGCTAAAACTAGCCGGTAGACTTAAAGGGCACTCAGTTAAAACTATGTAAAATATACTAGATTCTAATCCAGAGTTAAATACCTTGGCGACTATAGAAGTTTTTTGTGAATCTGTGCCGTCAACATATATTTCTGTTAGTGCTGCTAAACTGCTAGGTCTTAAAATAGTATTGTCGTCATCTTTTATTTGCATTTCTAAGGTACTTAAGTAATTTTTTGTAAAAAAGAATGTTAAAGTTTTGTTTTCTTCCTTATTAGGAGTCAAAGTGTTTTCAAGCAATACTCCATAATTTTGTAAAAAATAATTTCCCCTTTTTCCTTTAGATTGTTTAAAATTATCTTCAGCCCACATTTGTAGTGGCTGATTTTTAAGACAAGAACCTTTTGGTAATTGACAAGCTTTTTGTTGCTTAGCAAATGCTTCATACCCAACTCCAGCTACATTACAAATTCTTCCATTTGGCTGCACTTTATTTGACCGAACTACCAAGTACTCGTCTGCGCCTCCATGAACTTCTGGGTGATTTTCGATATCTTCTAAATTAGATATGTCAGGAATAAGAATTCTGTGAAAATTGTAATTTAAGCCAAAGTCTGCTTCGTTTATTTCTGGGGCTATATATCGAATAATTATTGAATTATCATCGCTATTATAATATCGTGTGGAAGTTCCAATCGTTAGTAAGTTTTTCTTTGTCAAGTCTTTCCACTTACATCCCGACTCCAATGTATTAAACTTTTGAAATATTTGTACGGATACTAAATGTTTTATTACAGGTTTACGAACATGGTACACATAGTACCATAGATCGGAAAATTTAAGACAATGACTACTTGCATGGTATGCTTGGGGATCCATATCAGCAGGTGTTTGTTGGTCGTTACAATCTTGGCCTCCACGTGGTTGTGTGTATAGTTTTTCTTTACCTACAATAAATTTTTACATTGATTTATACAACGTCTTATAAGTATACATTTGAAGAAAAAAACAGAACAAAATCTTTAAAAGATAAATACATGATTTACTATTGCATAAATTGTAACTAAATTTAATAAATTTTTGAATCGAGAATCATAACAATTTATATATATATATATATATATATATTTAATGTGATAATTTCGACCAAAAAACAATTTATCAGTATGTTGGAAATATCGGGTATGTGGTCTATATTAAAATAAAAATCTTTGTTTTTTCTAAAACTCAATATTTCGCTCTTTATTTAAAAGCTTCATCAGGAGTAACTGCAAAAAACAAACATTTAAAAAAAACTGACGTACACTTAGATTTACAATACTTACAGACTTAAAAGATTTCACACATAAATAAATTTGATATTAAAATAAACATTTTTTTTGATAATATATAAGTTTGTTAAAATGTAAATATATATGAGCACGTTCGTTAACAGTAAGTAAATGAGATGGAAACAACTAAAAATTATTTCAAATGCAAAAACTAAAATATAAGAAAACAGAGGAATATTATTTCTTTAATTAATCATTAAGGCTAGTTAGTATGATTAATCATTAAGGTGAGTGAGTTTTAAATTTTGTTCAATATATTGCAATATATGTTGCTTAATTGCCCCGTGTCTGTTTTATAATTTAAAGTTTGTTTATTTTTGTTGATGTGGTACATCTCCAAAAATAACCTACTTTTGTAATTGTCAGTCTGTGCCAAAATACGAGCATTGTTATAGTCCAACAGATGACCGGTGTTTTTATAATGCTCGACTACTGCACAACTATTTTTTCCCAAGCGGCAATCACTTTTGTGCTGTGTGATACGTTGTTTTAGCCACTGCGATGTATGGCCAATGTAGCTTTTTTCACATTCTAGGCACGGTATTTCATATACCACATTACTCCTATATAAGGTTGGTACTGGATCTTTAATTTTGGAAAAAAGTTGTTTGCTATTTATGGTATTGTATTTAGCTATATTAATATTGGAAACATCTTTAAATATGGATATGACTGAATGAGTTAGACCATTGATAAAGGGAAGTTTTTTATATTTGATTGACTCATTGTTGGAATCAAGGACAGGACCATCATAGAAATTACTGCTGTAAATGAGTTTTTTTAAAATATGTTTAGGATAGCCGTTGTTTCGAAAAATTTTGTATAATATGTCCAGATTTTTCTGTAATAAATTATCATCAACAATGGACATTACCCTATTTTTCATACCCAATATTGTATTATATTTTTGACGAGTGGTGTGGTTTGAAAAGTAATTCATATACCTGCCCGATGCAGTTGGCTTTTGGTACCAATCCAATGTCAAGATATTGTCATTTGTTCTTATTACCTTTGTGTCTAAAAATGGTATACTAAGATCTGTCTCTGTTTCAATTGTGAACTGAAGATGTTTGTTAAATGAATTAAAGATGTTTAATGTGGTATTGATGTGATAAGATGGAACTGCACATATGATATCATCGACATATTTATATATAAATGGTAATTCGAAAGGTAATTGCGTGATCACATTGTCTAAGAGATGATCAGTTACAATAGTAGCAAGGATAGGACTAATCGGGGAACCCATAGGTGTTCCAAAAATTTGGGAGAAAAATTTTCCATTGAAACTGAAATAGGTGTTATTAAAAATGAACCTGAGAATTAGTAGAAAATTACCTTTAGATAATGTCGTGTAGTCTTTTATAAGGTTCCAATTTGATTCTATAATGTTCGTGACCATAGTTAGTGGAATGTTTGTAAATAAAGAAACCACATCCAAAGAAATCAAAACATAATCTTTTGGCAACTGCATTCCCCTAACAGCATTGACAAAAGTAAATGTGTCCTTAGAATTATAATTGTTGCGATATTCAAAGGCATCATTTAATATATCAGCAAGAAATTTAGAAATATTATACGTAGTGGACTTTAAAGAACTTACAATAGGTCTGAGAGGAACGTCCAATTTGTGGATTTTGGGCAAACAATAAAGTTTAGGAGAATATGAGTCATATATTGTTAACTTTTTTGCCACTTGTTCAGTAAGTTGATGTTGGTTTTTTAATGTTTTTATTAAGTCATTATATTTTTTCTGTATCACTGTAGTAGGGTCTTTGTCCAAATCAATATATGTCGATCTGTCGTTTAACAACGTTAATGTTTTGTCGATATAATCTTGTTTGTTCATAGCTACCGTACAACCACCTTTGTCAGATTGTAAAATATATATGTCTGAATGTAACTTCAAATATTTTTGAACATATTTAAACGTTTTGTTTAATGTTGTGGGAGGTTTGGATGTTGAATTGTGTAGATAATTCGTTACTACATTTGTTACTTGCGCCCTAAGTAGATCTTTGGATTCAACTGTCACCTCATCGATGATATTTTCTACATCTGCTAAAAAGATATCTAACTTAAAATCTGGGGGTGTACACTCAACACTAAATTTTGGACCAAGAGAAAGAAAATCAGACACTTCTTTTGGAAAGTCAACGCTGGACTTTTTTGAACAATGAAAAATGGTTTAAAAACTTGTCCAGCGTTGACTTTCCAAAAGAAGTGTCTGATTTTCTTTCTCTTGGTCCAAAATTTAGTGTTGAGTGTACACCCCCAGATTTTAAGTTAGATATCTTTTTAGCAGATGTAGAAAATATCATCGATGAGGTGACAGTTGAATCCAAAGATCTACTTAGGGCGCAAGTAACAAATGTAGTAACGAATTATCTACACAATTCAACATCCAAACCTCCCACAACATTAAACAAAACGTTTAAATATGTTCAAAAATATTTGAAGTTACATTCAGACATATATATTTTACAATCTGACAAAGGTGGTTGTACGGTTGCTATGAACAAACAAGATTATATCGACAAAACATTAACGTTGTTAAACGACAGATCGACATATATTGATTTGGACAAAGACCCTACTACAGTGATACAGAAAAAATATAATGACTTAATAAAAACATTAAAAAACCAACATCAACTTACTGAACAAGTGGCAAAAAAGTTAACAATATATGACTCATATTCTCCTAAACTTTATTGTTTGCCCAAAATCCACAAATTGGACGTTCCTCTCAGACCTATTGTAAGTTCTTTAAAGTCCACTACGTATAATATTTCTAAATTTCTTGCTGATATATTAAATGATGCCTTTGAATATCGCAACAATTATAATTCTAAGGACACATTTACTTTTGTCAATGCTGTTAGGGGAATGCAGTTGCCAAAAGATTATGTTTTGATTTCTTTGGATGTGGTTTCTTTATTTACAAACATTCCACTAACTATGGTCACGAACATTATAGAATCAAATTGGAACCTTATAAAAGACTACACGACATTATCTAAAGGTAATTTTCTACTAATTCTCAGGTTCATTTTTAATAACACCTATTTCAGTTTCAATGGAAAATTTTTCTCCCAAATTTTTGGAACACCTATGGGTTCCCCGATTAGTCCTATCCTTGCTACTATTGTAACTGATCATCTCTTAGACAATGTGATCACGCAATTACCTTTCGAATTACCATTTATATATAAATATGTCGATGATATCATATGTGCAGTTCCATCTTATCACATCAATACCACATTAAACATCTTTAATTCATTTAACAAACATCTTCAGTTCACAATTGAAACAGAGACAGATCTTAGTATACCATTTTTAGACACAAAGGTAATAAGAACAAATGACAATATCTTGACATTGGATTGGTACCAAAAGCCAACTGCATCGGGCAGGTATATGAATTACTTTTCAAACCACACCACTCGTCAAAAATATAATACAATATTGGGTATGAAAAATAGGGTAATGTCCATTGTTGATGATAATTTATTACAGAAAAATCTGGACATATTATACAAAATTTTTCGAAACAACGGCTATCCTAAACATATTTTAAAAAAACTCATTTACAGCAGTAATTTCTATGATGGTCCTGTCCTTGATTCCAACAATGAGTCAATCAAATATAAAAAACTTCCCTTTATCAATGGTCTAACTCATTCAGTCATATCCATATTTAAAGATGTTTCCAATATTAATATAGCTAAATACAATACCATAAATAGCAAACAACTTTTTTCCAAAATTAAAGATCCAGTACCAACCTTATATAGGAGTAATGTGGTATATGAAATACCGTGCCTAGAATGTGAAAAAAGCTACATTGGCCATACATCGCAGTGGCTAAAACAACGTATCACACAGCACAAAAGTGATTGCCGCTTGGGAAAAAATAGTTGTGCAGTAGTCGAGCATTATAAAAACACCGGTCATCTGTTGGACTATAACAATGCTCGTATTTTGGCACAGACTGACAATTACAAAAGTAGGTTATTTTTGGAGATGTACCACATCAACAAAAATAAACAAACTTTAAATTATAAAACAGACACGGGGCAATTAAGCAACATATATTGCAATATATTGAACAAAATTTAAAACTCACTCACCTTAATGATTAATCATACTAACTAGCCTTAATGATTAATTAAAGAAATAATATTCCTCTGTTTTCTTATATTTTAGTTTTTGCATTTGAAATAATTTTTAGTTGTTTCCATCTCATTTACTTACTGTTAACGAACGTGCTCATATATATTTACATTTTAACAAACTTATATATTATCAAAAAAAAATGTTTATTTTAATATCAAATTTATTTATGTGTGAAATCTTTTAAGTCTGTAAGTATTGTAAATCTAAGTGTACGTCAGTTTTTTTTAAATGTTTGTTTTTTGCAGTTACTCCTGATGAAGCTTTTAAATAAAGAGCGAAATATTGAGTTTTAGAAAAAACAAAGATTTTTATTTTAATATAGACCACATACCCGATATTTCCAACATACTGATATATATATATATATATATATATATATATATATATATATATATATATTTATTCCTTTTTCAAGATACTGTAATAAGAAAAATGTGTAAATATGTATTTACAAAATTTCACAATTCGTCAGTGCAACTTACTAGTCGTTGAGATTTGACACTCAACATTAATAACACACATATAAAACATAAAATAAAAAATAATGGACAAAATACATTCTAAAATTTTTTAAAATTTAGTTAAGGGTAGTAAAACTTAGTTTACGACAACTTTTAATGGTGTGTTTTAATTCTGACACATAGAGAACAGAAATAAAAAACAAAAACAGTAATTAGGTGTTCTTCCGGTTTTATTAATGGAAATAATATAATAAACCTGTTTTGATGGTATGCAACATGTTATGCATACAGGTTTATTATGGTGTGTATATATAAAGGTAAAAGTTTATTTTATTTTTGATGTTTTGCCAGTAAATAACAATAAATGTAGCTCAGCTTATCTATGTTAAACATTTTATTTATGAAAGATGTACTAGACTTTATGAAACTAGTTACATCAATTAAAAAAAAAAATAAATAAAAAAAACTAAATAAAAAAAATAACAAAAAAAATATCTCGAAAAACCTGATAAAATGACCAAACGCCATTAACGTTGTTAATTGGATTGGAACCCTTTTGTGGCGTTTCAAAAATCTTATTACAACAAAAACGGTTAAAAGAACGTGGTTAGTTCACAAATTTCTGAAATGGTGGAGAAATTCACCAGAACCAAGACAGACAAAAACAGTTCATTATAGAATATTCGCCAAAATTTACAGCAGACCTAAAATTTAAAGACAGGAAAACAGTCGAAATGATAGTTGGTCTGCCAAAAGGTCTCTGTAAGCTGAATGGGTCGTTGAAGCTTATGGAATTGGAAGATGATGACCTATGCAGAGTCTATCATGCAAAGACAGAAACAGCAAAGCACATGTTTTGTTAGTGAGATAGCTTGGAAAATCTACAGTCCTTTCCATTAGGATAAGAAAAGCCACCGGCAAAGAGCTACATAAACGGTTCAGTTTCCAAGCTATCAGACCTTTTAAAAAGGGTCAGGCTAAAAAATGTAATCTAGGATTAGAAGACCACACTAGGTCTAAAAAGGTCGTAGTAGAATATGCCAAAAGCCACCTCAGATCTATCTATCTAAGTTAAACTACCTGGGCAGTTAAATCGATGAGAAACTTAATTCGGAATTATAAATTTTTCTAAACAAGAGCTTAAGAGCGTAAGAAAGCTAAATGAAATTGAAACGTAAACGCTAAAATTTAGCATCCTGAATAGACTTGAGGTATTTAAAATATGGATATACCGATGAATATTTCGGACTTCCCATTTCCCCAATTTGAAAGTTTTGCATCAAATTGGCAAGGAACGTCAGCTGATCGAAAACAATAAAAGCGGTAAACTGCATATCTTGGTCATATAATAAGACACAATAGATACCACTTCATTCAACTCATAATAATAATAATAACCTACCATGATGACAACGTAAAACGTGAAGAAAAGCTAGGCAAAAAATATTAAATAATGTATTAATGTATCTTCCAATAAATATCAGATGGTTCATGTTGTACACTGCGATGGAGAAAATGGATGGATTGACGATGCAATATTTATGTCTGCCAAAAAAATGAAGATGCGTCTTAAGACCAAATTAAATCAACCCGTCATATCAGTGAAAGACATTCCATATCTCCCAAAATTCTTGAAAACTCTACATCCTTATCGTAAGAAAAACAAAAAATTGAAGATAATGTTTCAATTTGAAACATACAATAAAGAAATAACGACAACCTAAAACATTTCTTTGTCCCTTATTTTCAGATTTTCTAGCATTGTTATATTCTGAACTATCATGTTAAACTTTTGGAAATTTGTTAAAAACAAATCGCAGCCAAAACGAGATTTATTTGCAAAAATTTCACATTTTACTCAAAGTATTTTCTGCCGTCTTTCATCTATTAATTAATGTTTTATGTAAAGGTTAAATCTGAAATTTCTAGATTGAGATGAGACATGGTCAGTTATATTGAACAACCAGTGATAACAGGATATTCAAAAGTGTACACACTGCCTAGCACAATTCTCTAGACCAGTGGTTCTCAACCTTTTTGAGTCATATTTAACAAAATTATTTTTATTATTTTTGGTACTACCTGGGTAATTTAATTAACCATAATTTATATGCTAGTATTTTAAGAATAGGTAGTAAGAAAGTATTTTCTGCCATCTTTCTTTCTATTAATTAATGTTTTATGTAAAGGTTAAATCTGAAATTTCTAGATTGAGACGAGACATGGTCAGTTATATTGAACAACCAGTGATAACAGGATATTCAAAAGTGTACACACTGCCTAGCACAATTCTCTAGACCAGTGGTTCTCAACCTTTTTGAGTCATATTTAACAAAATTATTTTTATTATTTTTGGTACTACCTGGGTAATTTAATTAACCATAATCTATATGCTAGTATTTTAAGAATAGGTAAAATAAAATTCAACAAGAATAAAATTTTATTTAGGTTATCTCTTTAGATTTTATATGAATGTAGTTAGAATAACAAACTAATTAGTGAGTAAGTTGTGCTTGAGTATTTTCACATAACTTATTAATACCTGGTTTAGTGTTACTCAGATGTCGTCGAAGATCAAGTTCTTCATTAAGTTTGTTTCTGTAAAGTTCGTAATATTTAGCACAGCTGAAAATCTATTTTCGCACAGGTAGTTGTCAAAAGGGGTATCAAGTATTTTAAACCGCGTTTTGCAAGTGAAACGGAATTCAATTGTTTGGCTGCCTTTCCCCAAAACACAATTTATAATGTCTTTGGCAGCTAGTAAAATAAGTCTTTCTCCATTTGTAGGGGGTTTTCCACACTTGTCTATTTTTAAACTGGTTAAAAAAGCTTTAACAACAGTTCCGTTTCTTGAATTAAACGCTGCTATTTTCTTCTGTTTACCTTTAAGTTTAGCTTCCTTCATTTTGAAAAAATCTAGTGGTGTTCCTGATAGGTTCTTGTGCTTCAAGTTAAAATGGCGCTGCAGCACATAAATTTTCATTGAATGATTTGAAAAGAGCTTAAAACATGCAACACTTTGTGGAAGTGGCTCTTCTTTAACATCGACAAAAGAAAATCCCATTTTTATATAATTTAAATTATATCGTCTGGTAACTGTGTTTTTGTTTTTCACGATTGAAGTTTAAATCAACGTTTATTACTTTACTTGCAGTGCATGGTAAATCACTTGTTTCTTGAACAGGGACATTATTTTACAACTTCTATGGGTCTCTTTCCCCATTTGTCTATTAAAAAAAAAACTTACAATACATTAAAATATTCTTTTTGTAAAATGGATTTATAAATTTTCAGAACCTTTTCGATCCTATCAGATTATCATCACTAAAAAACGTCTATATAGTAGTTGGAACTAGCTACATAATAAGGTCAAATGTGCCTTAAATTACATAATTTGAGTAACTAACATTATAACTATTAAGACACTAGGTCGATGATAAAGGATTACATTTTTTAAGGGAACGTACAATTTCTCAGCTCGAAAAAGGGAGCCTTATGTCTTGAGAGGTAACATCCAACTCGCCTTTATATTAATTACTTTGTAACTAAAATAACAAGGTACACAGTTAACGTAAACTTACTTCTATGTTCTACTACTCACATATCAAGTTAAATACCTACTAACTTACTAAAGGCTATTGGCAACTACTACGCGACTATTTCACAATATGTGCTGGCGTGACCGGCATTTCGACAATGCTCCGGTATTTTAGTTTTAGTTTAATTGTTATTTCTGTTATTTTATGCGTTGCTGATTTTGGCTGTGTTTTTGTGTTTTTACGTTTTGCGTACTTCCAGTAGTACATGTATTATAGGTTCACAATCGCTGCTCTAGACTGTCTATATGATTACTTGTCTAAACAAAAATTTGTAGACAGTAAATTCTTAACAGATAATTAGGTAACAGATATTATTTTCGTAATACAGAATATGTTTTCTACAGAAGTCAGTCTTTAGTTTGTCATGCTGAATTGAATACCTTATATCACTCGATATAAGGTGTACAATTGACATGCGTGAATTTATTTATCTCTGTCATGACTAAACGATTGTTTAACATATATTTATCTTTATCCTTTTTTTACCTTGTTTATTTTCGTGAACTGATATTCTTTAATTCACTATATACATTTATTGTTATAATATTTTCATTTTTCTTCAATCAGAATGGTTTCTTGCTGTCTAGGTATATGTAGTAAAATATCACTCTTTTTTATTAATTTCTATTTTGTTTTGTTTCATTGTCTGTTAACAATGTTTACTATATAATATCTAATTATTTGGTTCAGTTTCTAAAAAAATATATACTTTTGTTTGTATAAATCATTTCTAGGTACTCTAAATGTAAAATCGATAGATAAGAGAAAAAGAAGATATATAAATTTAACATCATCTACTACCCAACCATGTGATTGTCATATTTACCATTAGCCATAGTTTTTTGCCGATCAGCATCAGAAAAGCTTTTATAAAAGTCACTTTTCTTCTCTGAATCGCAATTGCAACAAAATCCATCGCTGTATGGCACGACTCTGTCTTCATACTGCATCATTTCACAAGGACTTGAAGTTCCCTCCTTACAGCCAGTATAACCTGAAATTTTGTAAATATAATATATTAATATAAATAAAGTTAAAGTATCCCTTATATTACTTATATAGTTTTTAGAAAAATACGCTACCTGACAAGAGACTTCAGAGCCAGAACTTGGGCCATTGAAGATAACACTGGAACCCAGAGAACAAACAGAGAAGACATAGCAGAGACATGGAGATCGTATTGCGGGGACCTATATAAAGATGATCAACGCCAAGAGCTTGTTAGCAAAATCTCTGACGAGGTGGAAGAAGAACCTGATATACTCGAAAATGAAGTAAGACAGGCTATCAATAAGCTCAAATATAACAAAGCACCAGGTCCAGATATGATAAGAGCAGAAATGCTTAAAGCCACAGAAGAAACCGGCGTAAAGTTACTTCATCTACTCTGTAACCAAATATGGCATTCCAAACAATGGCCTGAAGACTGGACAAAATCCACAATAACGACCATACATAAAAAAGGCAGCTTCCATAAATGCGACAATTATAGAACTATCTCTCTTATATCCCATGCCAGCAAGATAATGCTACATATAATCAATGAGAGACTGAAAACATTCCTTCAAAGAGAAATTCCACAAGAGCAAACTGGATTTACCAAAGGTAGAGGCACTCGAGAACACCTGCTGAATATAAGACAGATAATCGAGAAATCTAAGGAATTTAACATCCCACTATACATCTGTTTTATAGATTACCGTAAAGCGTTCGACAGGGTCAAGTGGAGACACTTATGGCAAATACTAAAAGAAGTAGGCATACCACAACATCTAATTATGCTTATAACTGAACTATATGAACACACTACTGGATCAGTTAAAGTACTTGACACACTTTCGAACGAGTTTCATCCAGAACGGGGTGTCAGACAAGGATGTATACTATCTCCACAATTATTCAACATATATGGGGAGTATATTATGCGAAGAGCACTTGAAGGATGGGAAAAGGGCATCTCAATAAATGGTCATAAACTAAACAACCTACCTTTCGCAGATGACACAGCCCTTCTTGCAAATAGTCAAGCAGAGCTGATGGAACTTATACGACTGATCGAAAACGAAAGTCAAATATTTGGTCTGCAATTAAACATATCAAAGACAAAGATCATGATAGTGGATAGACTACACAACAATCATTCACACATAACCACAATTGACCGGTTCGAGGTTGTGAGCTCATACTTATATCTGGGATCATTAATCACAAACACAGGGTCATTACAAGAAGAGATTAAACGTAGATCTGATCTAGCAAAAGTTGCCACAACAAAAATGACCAAAATATGGAAGGACTGTCAAATTTCAAGAGCGATAAAGATGGGGTTGATCAACTGCTTAATATTCCCAATACTGACCTACGGATGTGAATCTTGGACTCTGAGACAATCGTAGAGAAGAAAGATAGACGCCACTGAAATGTTCTGTTGGAGACGAATGTTACGAATTCCTTGGACCGACCGTGGGACAAATAATTCAATTTTAAGAGAGCTAAAAGTTAGCCAACGACTCTCTAGTAAAGTCCATCTCCAACAATTAAAATATTTTGGGCATGTTATGAGAGCAAACATAGAAAACATGGAAAGACTCATAATACAAGGAAAGGTAGAAGGCCGAACATCACGAGGAAGATCCCCAACAAGATGGATAGATCAAATTACAGAAGTATGCCAAAGACCTATGCATGAATTAAAAGAAATGACCAGAGACAGAGATCTCTGGAGACGGACAATACACGACATCACGTCGACCACTACACTCCCCCTGGGGGGTCAGGATTGAAGAGAGAGAGAGATTACTTATAAATATATGCTAACCAGAAATCCTACAGAGCTATAAAAATTATAAAGGCTACCAACATATTAACTTTCCACAAAAATAAGAAATGATCTACTTTCTCTGTTAGATTGTTTATGAAAAAAAAAATTAATCTACAGCAACCCTACAATCTACAGCACATATTTGGGGAACAATCATATTAAACCAAAGCCAATATACAGCTCGAAATAACAGCTAAACCAGTACGTGAAACTGCTAAGGACAATTTTGAAAGCCGATTATAGAGGAATCAATAAATCATTGCAATACCAACTAAATCTACTGTTGCTGATCCAATAAGCTTTGACGTTTTTTTTAAATACTACAATAAAAGACCCTTCTTCAACTCTAAACTCGAATTCACAAAAATCTATGAGAACCCATTAGAACTAAAAAAAATTAGAGAGACATTAAAATAATAGGACAACAACAACAATAACAGCAGCCAGCAAAACCTATGAACTAAATCTGTCGAATTCTATGCATGTACAAATCACTCTTTAAGCTCCTAACATACTAACTCCAAACATATAGACAAATAATCCAAACTACCAATTAATTAAGACAAATCAACAAAGAGCATATTGCTTTGTTCTACAATTTCTGAGTATTTACAAAACTGACACAAAATAATGTTATATATACTAGCACCGTACTGTGCTCAATGTGACATCTGTTACACATAATAGCCCGGATCTCATCTTATTTAATAAGCTAACAAGACAAACCACACTAATTGGTATGGCGACACGTAACTACAATAATCTGCGTATTAAATACAACAAGAACTATGTGGAATGGAAAGTATCAGACAGACCGATTATTTTCTCTATTACTCGTGCTATTTAGAGGGACCTTCTAGAGAACATCAAACCTGTCTATAAGACCTTGCACAAATTGTAGCTTTGTGCAAGATCTTAGAGATGTGAAAATTTTTTGGGAAATACATTGGCATACATACTCATCTAGGGCTAGGGCATAAAACTATTACTTTGACCATAATTTCACGATTCAAATTATTATCTTATTGATAGTAGTAAGGACTAGGTACTAAGCAGTAATGAAATGCTACTTTTACATAAATATTAGTAGTCTCTCACACACCTGTCTAACATTAAAGTATGATGAGGTAAAACTATTTGGTACTTCACCATACATATCTCTGACAATCTTCACATTCTCACCAAGGACTTTTTTTTATTTAGGACCCACCACGGAACATCTCGAGGGATCCTGTCCATAAGCTTTCTTAAAGTCAAGGAACACCATATGTGCACTAAGATACTGCTTCTCCAGCTATCAATCATTTGTCCTATTTGCATGATTTGCAACCTTCAAAAACATGTTAGCTAACTTTTTCCTGTCTCTCCTAACGCTTCACACTTTTCTCGGGATATCATGTGACAAAAATACTTTGTCCTAATTTTTTGCAGGAAGAAAACTTCTTCGTTTGTTGTTTTTGTTACTTTTGCTGTTACTTCAACTGTTTCTGTTAGTTTAACTGGTTTTCTGACAAATCGTCGTTTAGTAAACTGTCAAGTATGTCTCCCATAGCTTTTTGACATCCTGTTCGTGCACTAGTATTTTAATTTTCTCGTCTTGGATACATCGGATTAAAATATTTTACTTTTTTCGTTCTATGTTTGGTTATTTTATATATCTTCCTTTTATAAGCTTTTGTTTTAGCTCTTGCTAACGCTCCTCTTTTGACAACCGTATAATTTTGAAGATCTGTGTAGTACGTATTTTTTCTTACTTTTTATAAAGTGTTTTCTTTCCTCTAATTTTTTCTGGAATTTAATTTGACTACTCCCAGCTTTCTTTAGTTTGAAAATTCTTTCCGAAGGGATTTTTCACGTATTTCAGTATTTCAATTGCAGTATCTCTAATATTACTAGCCATATTGCTATGCATTGCATATGCTATTGTATATAATAATTTTAGGACATCTTTTCGTGCTATAACTTATTTTTTTTACTATTGTCCTTTTTTCTTGTATTTGAATTTAGTGGGTAAATAATCACATAAACCAGCGTGCTAGAAAAACGACCGCCCTTCTACCAGCGTGGTAAAGATACGGCCAAGAATCCTAGTAAAATGAAAAATGAAGAAAATGAAAGATAATAAAAGCGCGGATTTATGGTAAGTAAAAAAACACACAAAGAATATACTTACAAGTAATAGCATTAGTGATAAAATTATATATCCTGTCTACAAAGTAAACCAACAAATTTGATTTAAGTTTACCCAGGTATATACACATATCAGTGGCCATACAGACGAAAAAGTTTAATGGTTTTACGATGACTTTAACAGTCAAATACAAGAGGTAACCATCAACTATACGACACCGATGAAAGATCTGAACGCCAAAATAAGCCACAAACAGGATGATTCGGAGTTTGTAGTTGACGTCATGGATATGGCTATAGAAATGAAAAGGGTCGAACTCTTGTAGAATTACAGCAACATAAGCTCTCTGTCATTAAAATTTATTTAAAAAAAGCCCTTAAAGGAACTGACTTGGCAATTACCAAATGGCTTAAATAAGAACGAAAGGCATACCTGGAAGAAATAAAAAAACCTTTAGGACCTTCAGAAAGACACACAAGATGAAATCAATATTGAACAATTTAACGAAGCACTGTTGGACGCTCTAAAGCAGGTACACTAGAAGTTCCAAGACAAGCAAAAAAGAAGAAATAATAACTCACAGTACCCACAAGAAACCTACTGCAAAAGAAGGGAATGAAATATAATTGGACACAACGAACATTACAGAGCTAATAAAATCAAACAAAACCATTAAAAAAGACGTTAGGTAAAACATAAGAAACTTTAACACTAAAGAAACAACTAATATCATAGAACAAAACAAAAGTCTAAAACGAAAGTTAAAGACAGGAACGAGGAATACTTATAAGTTAAAAAATAAACAAAATACATTACATATATGAACAACAAGATATCCCGAAAATCATCAAAATGTACTAGGGAACTTATAGAACATGTACGAGACGATTACAATCCGACATTCCAGAGATAGAAATCCCAGCAATACAATATCAAGGATCAGAGTCACTTCTAGATATAACCAAAGAATAAATTAAATCAGCGTTAAAAGATATGAAGAACCACAAAAGTTATGATGATATTGCATAAAAAAGGAGATGTA